CGCGATGAAGGCCTTGCGCGCGACCTCGGCCTCGCGGTGCAGGAGGGCGTCGAAGAGGACGCTCGTGCAGGGCCGCGCGGCCTGCCCGGGCGGCTTCTCGACGTTCGCGAGGCCTTGCGAGGGCGGGGCCGGGTCCGGGGGGCTCGCCTCCCGGCCGGCCTGGCGCCCGACGGGCGAGGCCGCCGGGTCTACCGAGGCCCGAGAGCCCCCCCGCAGCCCCGGCGACCTTCGCCAGTTCGAAATCTTCTCCATCGGGAGCCCCCCTCCGGCGTGCGCGAGGGCCCAGGCGGCATGAAAGCCCAGCCGCTTCGCGATCACCCCATCGCTTTGCGTGGCCTTCTGCCGGGTGGCCTTCGCGGCGTCCTCGTTTTGCTCCCTTGAAATTCGCTCCCGCTCCGCCTTTAAGGATCGCAGGCAGTTCGATTTCCGGCAGGCCGGGGCGGGCGCGGGGGTGGCGTGGGGGCGGCCTTCCCCGGCGTTTTGGAAGACCGCCGCCGCCTGACGACGCTCCCGCGCGGTGACGCTGACGCGATCCAGCACCGCCACCTGCGGGAGGTGGTGCAGGACGTACAGCCGATAACGAGGGTACTCGCAGGCGGGGTTGCCCTCGAGGTTCAGGTACTTCAGCGACCCCAGCCGCTTAAGGACCCCCACCAAATGGGGCAGATCGCCGAGTTGATTGCGCCCCAGGCAAAGATACTCCAGCGAGCGCAGCAGCGGGACGTCGGTCTCCCCGGCGAGATCGCGAATGCGGTTGTGCGAGAGGACGAGCTGGCGAAGCCGCACGCAGCCGCGGGGCCCGCTAAGTCGGTTGACCTGACTCGTCCCCCTCGTCCCGGAGACGATGGCGGGCAGTTTGCCTTCCGTGGTCGACCGAAACGTCTCATTCCGGTCCAAAGTCGAGCCCCCCTTTCCCCCAAGGGAAGGGACCGGCGGGGGGGCGATCAGGTGCCGCACAAACCGCAGGTTATTATGACTTAAAAACAGCGTCTCCAGGTTTTCAAACCACAAAAAGTTGCGATGTAGGCCGGTGAGGTGTTGGTTGGAAAAGGCCAGATCCGTTGTTTTCGCGACGGTGGTGCGGGAGAGGTGGAGGGCGCGGACCGGGTCGAGAATCGTCGAGGCGGCCGCCGCACCGTCGCCCGCCAGCGTCGCGGCGAGGTCCTCGCCGTCAAGGGGGGGCCGGCTTCCCGACTTTGCCGCCTCCGGGCCTAGAAAAGACTCGGTCAGGGTGTGCTTTGGGGGGTTCACCAGCCTCTCCGCGCGCCTTTTTTCCTCTCGTCGGAGAAGACGATAATACTGCTGGTTCGGCACGGTCCACATTATAGCTATAGATATAGATCTATCTATATTTGAATCTGTTACCTAGTCACTACACTTCAGGGAGTGCTAAAACAATGAAGAAAATAAATGGGTTGTTGTAGCCACTCCTGGATGTGGACGAGATACTAAAGCAGCCAATACACACACTATAGAATTCCAAACTAATTTTTAAAATGCAATTTTCGTCTCAAAACTGAATCCCAACGTTCCATCGTAGTCCCTAAAGCTTATTTTTTTTTATTTTAGATGAGATCCAACCGTCTTCACGGGTTCCAGTTCTATTGTTGACGGCCCTCACATCATCACATGCGGAACACTTTGCGCTGGTGGCATATCCCTACCGGTCCATAAACTTGGATTAGCCTCCGCCTCGGCATGGACGTCGATGGCGCCTACGGCCACGACGTTTGCCCCGCGAACGAGCATCACGCCAAGGGGGGATTCCTCCATTTTCTCCCCTCCCTCGCGGCCGTTGAAGGGGGCCGCGGTGCGCTCCACGCAGGAGGTGAGCACAAGGTTAAGCAGCTGATCCGCGGAATGCAGCACACCGACGAGGTTGCGTCCGTCCGTGGTGACTACGGATACTCTTTTTCGAAGGAAATCGCTTAACATTATAAAATAGGTTGAACTCCTCCTACCCCCTCCCCCCTAAAAAAAAAAAATAATCACTGCTTCTATTTATTTTTAATCCAAAGTATGAGCTGCGTGGGCAGGCTTCCTTTTGTTTAATCCCACGTTTCTATTGTGGTGTAAAGTATATTGTTTGAGAAAAGGGTTTTAAAACAAAGAAAGATGAAGGGGATAGAAAGCGAAGAATATCCATATTGAATGTCATCCATTGTTTAACAAAGCGATTAGATAATCTGGAAAGCTCTTTAATGTGACACTGGAGGAAAAAGGGCATTATAGAGTCAAGCATTAAGTTTATAGTCTAACATTTTTCAGCTTGATAGATAGAGGTATACTTTCTGATTTGTAATAGATCCAAATAGAGGGCACCTGGCTTTTCAAAAGGGAGAAAAAATCAGGAAGAATCCTTTTTTTTTTCCATATTCTCTAAAATGTTACGTTTTTTATCAATTGCTTTCAAATTATCTTGGGAGAAATCAACCAAAGGTTTTTTTTTAGTGGAAAAAAATTCGCCATTCAAAAATGGAAAAAAAATCGAGCCTGTTTTACTTGATTAAATATATAAAAGCTGAAACGATTATAATTCCATTTTTCGTCTAAAAGAGTTATCACGTTTTATGCCCATTATTCACTCCCATTCGTTAAATATTAATCAGATCGCTTTTTAGAAAAGCAGCTCATTTCTGTATTACTCACAAAACTCAAAAGACTTGATAAGAACATGATTATTATAGGTTATCGTTGCCTTCATATTGTTTACTCGCCTTACCTCAATTCAGTTCTTGTTTCCATTCACTTTGGAATAATTAATTTCTTCAACCTATCTTTTGTCAAACTCACCAGTTCTTTAATTCCAAAAGAAAAATTCATCATTTTGCGGCAGATAGTTATCGACAAAATATTGATGCTCTAAAATTTGCACAACGATACACGCCACCGATCACACGCTCCTCGATTTATATTTATTTCATGTCAAGAAACAAACATTCATGATAATAAAAATTTACATTTCATGAAAAGACAAAAAAAAGAAGAAAAAGCTCATGCGAGTATTTTTCCATTTGTCTTCTTATAGCTTTCGTAAGTGTATTATTTTGGCAAAGCTGCAAGAGACAAGCCATGTGTTTTTATATGCGTCGTCAATAAGCAAAATGAGAAAAAGAGCAAAACAATCAAAATCATATATTAATAAGTTCAACACAGTAGTAATGAAAATCGTTAATATAATTATATATATATATATTACATTCCATTCCTACATTGGGTGAAGTATATACTTAGTATATTCGATTTCATGTACTCCCAAGTTATGCTTTTTTTTTTTAATTATTATATATTTTTTCTGTTTACTTTCCCCTTTAGCTCAACACACGCTTGGCGACGGCGAGGACATCCTCAACCTGCGGCTGTGAGGCGGCTTCCAGGTTTTTGCTGTATGGTGTCGGGCAGTCCGCACAGGAAACCCGCACAATCGGTGCATCCAGATAATCAAAAGCTTCACTTGCCATCACGAGCGCGCAGATCTCTGCACCAATATTGCAGATCGGGAAAGACTCGTCGACGGTTACGGCGCGATGGGTTTTCTTGATCGAATTAATAATCGTATCGCGGTCTAGCGGGCGCAGGGATCGGAGATTGATCACCTCCGCCTCGATGCCCTCGGCGGCAAGCTTCTCCGCGGCCTTCAAACTGATATCAACCCCGCGCGAGAAGCTGAAAAAGGTGATATCCCTTCCCTCCCGCTCGATCTTTGCCTTTCCAAAGGGAATTACGAAGTCATTGCCAAGCGCCTCATCGGAAACCGGGTAGCTCTCGCCGTACATCAGCTCATGTTCTAGAATGACGACCGGGCTATTGCAGCGGACCGCGGCCTTAATCATCCCCCGCGCGTCCTCGCTGCTGAAGGGCGACAAGGTGATTAGCCCAGGGACGGAGGAGTACCAGGATGCGTAGCATTGGCTGTGTTGCGCCGCCACCCCCGCGGCAGCGCCGTTGGGGCCTCGAAAGACGATCGGGCACTTCAGCTGCCCGGCGGACATATAACACCCTTTCGCGGCGGAGTTCACGATTTGGTCGATCGCCTGCATGGCGAAATTGAAGGTCATGAACTCGCAGATCGGGCGCAGCCCGTTCAGCGCGGCCCCCACCGCCATCCCGGTCACCCCGTGCTCCGTGATCGGCGTGTCGACGACGCGTTCGGGCCCGTACTTGTCGATCAGGCCGCGGGTGACTTTATAAGGGCCTTGGTAATTCCCCACCTCCTGGCCCAGGACGAAGACCGCCGGGTCGCGCGCGAGCTCCTCGTCGATGGCGCTGTTCAGGGCGTCGCGGATGGTCATCGTCGTGGCCGCGCCGCGCAGCGCCTTCGTCAGCGCCGCCGCGGCCGTGACACGGAATGCTGCAACACGTCGCATGGCTTGTCACACAAAAGAGGGCCGTCACCACAGAGAAAAAAAAGAACAGGAAAAGGAACAGGAAAGGGGAGTGCCGCGGAGAACAAAAGGAGGGCGCTTTTCTGTTACAACAGGAGGGGGAGTTCTGAAAGGGGGAATCCGAAAGAAGCTCTGAGGAACGGAGAGACGGGTGCGGGTCTGTTACTCGGGGACGCTTTGGTGGTTCCTACAGGAAAGGGAAGGAACGAGAGTTTGGGAAGTTAGTTTGGGGTTGGTAAATAAAGGGTTTGCTAAGGGACAAGAAAAGATAATGGGAAGGGGTGAAGGGGGGTTTTTATAGACAAGGAGAACAAAGAATCGCGTTTGAATATAAAGTGGGGGACCAAGTTTTTTTTTTTTAAGTCATAGGTGCTGCATTGAAGTTGATAAAGCTTTGTTTTCCAATTTTGCATAAACCACTCATCACAATCTCTGATTTTTTGGAATAGTTATACAGGGCAAGAGGCGGGTGGATGAGCGCTCGGAGGAATCGGGTGGCGCGCAGATAGCCCCCTTTTAAATTCGAAAGTTCATCCAAAGACAAAAATATTCACCGGAGTGCTATATATATCTATCTCTCTCTGTCTCTCTATATATATAGATATGTTTCGCGCGGCTTCTAACGCCGCCGGGAGTATCGTCCGCTGTGGTGGCGTCGAGAACGCTCGTGGGAGGATTCACGCCTGCTCTGTTTCCTCGCGTCGTCGCTGCGAACCGGCTCGGACGGGCGCTCGCGCTTTCGCGGCTCCGAGGGCTCCTCCCAACGGCGCCCATTTCGCGTACTTCGCGGGGCGTCTCTTCGGCTTTCTTTCCTTTCCCCAGGCCTTGGCATCGCCGGGGGATCCCAACTCCTCGACCCCCCATTGCGCTTGACGTCTGGCGGAGGGAGGGGCTTCCGATCCTGCCCCCCTCTTCCCCCCGTGGGGATCGGGGGGTTGGGGGCGGTCGGCGCGAAAAGATTCGCCACGCTCGCGGCGGGTTCCTTCAACCCGGGCAAAAGCGGCTTTTCGAGCTTGACGAGGGCTTGAAACCCCAGCGAAATGATCTGCGCGCGGCCGAGGGCCTCCCGCCGGGCGACGACGCAGCGCTGAAAAGCCTCCTCGTAGATCCCGACCGGCCTCAGCAGCCAGCGCGTCTGTCGGGCGACGTAGAAGGCCGCCCAATCGCCAAAAAAGGTCCCTTTACCGAGGAAAAAACGCAGGACGGCGTGGACTTCACTCAAGGTATGCTCGAAAAGGGCGTTGGCGTCCTTTTCCCCGCTTGGCAGCACCCCTGCAAAAGCCCCGGGGCTCTCGGGCTGGCAGGCCTGGCGGTACGGCAGCACCACCCCCTCCGCGATGTGGTGGAGCAGCACCGCGAGGGAGCGGACCTCGAGCAAAGTCCGCGAGGGCCGCATCAGCCCCCGCGCGATCTCGCGAATCAACCGCCGAAGCAGCGCGGCGAGGGCCGCCGCCTCGAAGAACTCGCGCGCGGCGTTGAGGAAGAAGTCCCGCAGGGCGACCCCGGCGAGGGCGCCATCCACCGGCGAGAGCCCCCCGCGCCGCACCACCGCGG